GGAGGTCGGTGCAGAACTGGAACTCCAGGGCTGAGCAGAGCCAAGGTTGAGCAACCGAGCTGAGCTATCAATGATACTGCCTCCTGTTACCGCAGAAGCAGATAAATCAGCTGAATCTTGTTTGCTAGAGAAAGAAATAGACTGACCAACACCCGCAGTTGTTATTTTTCCATTTGCCCCCGTTGTCTTCTGTTCCTCTGTGGCATCAGCAGCAGCAACAGACCCAGATTTTCCATTTTCCGAAGAACTATAATTCATTTTCTGTTTAGCTGCCTGAGCAGCAACAGCAGCTGCCATCATTTGATGATACCCTTGCCTTGATGTTTCTGGTACACCATGGAATATAGCATGATTTTGAGCAATAGATGGCGGCATGTTCAGACCTCCACTGAAAGTGGCAAAGGTCATTGCATAAGGCTGAGATTGCATGGCTTCTGCACCCGCCTTTGATCCCTGCTGTTCTGGTTTCTTTTCACCAGTATTGTTGGAGGAGCTGACCACTCCGCCGCTTGAGGTTGCAGAACCTATCAAACCCATGTTGGTTGGTTGCATCGGCATAGCAAAGTTTTGGCCATATGCAACATTGGAACGAGAGCCTCGGCTATCAGCAGTAGATGGGCTATCTTCTCCTGCAGTTTCACTATGTTGAGTTGCGTTTTCTTTGGGCTGCTGCCTGTGCTGAAAGCTCGAAGGCTGAGATTGAACTTTCTGAGTAGGAAATCCTTGTGAATTTACCGGGGGCCTTCGTTGTTGGTTCTGGAGATGCTTTTGCGCTGCCGAGGAACCAGTGGAAACATTTGTGTTCTGGTTGCTAGGAGCATGGCTCTGTTGCCCTTGACCGGATTGTGGTTGTGGCTGAAGATGTGGAGCGTGGACCATTTGAGAGGAATAGAATGAACCATTAAAGAATGGTATAGGCTGCCCAGCAACTCCTCTATAAGGAGGTGGTGTTCCAGCATGCGCCGGGACTGGAAATGGATACCCATTGTTCTGCAAGATAGCCAGGTACTGAGTTTCATTGCTTGGCATATTTGGGTAGCTGAAGCTCATTGTTGTAGCACCCGCTGGAGTTGCTGATGCAGAACCATTCATGGATGCCGAAGCAGCTGTTGCACCAGATGAAACAACTGTGTTGCCGGTGTTAGGAGGCCTGGCAGATGCGGCAGCTATTGCAGCAGCTGCATGAGGTTGCTGGCCCAAGGGGAAAATAAATGCCGGGCCATGCTACAATGAAACAAAACCAATGAAAACACCAATCAAACCTCAGAAGTCCAAGTATAAAAATACATGGAATGAAAATTTCGGTAGAAGCAAACACAATAAACTTACCAAGATGGTGTTACCAGCTCCTGGAGGCAGAGCTTGCTGGAGTAATATTTGCTTCCTTTGGGATGTATCTGATAAGCTATTAGGTGTAGTTTGAGAGCTTTTATCGGGTAAAACGCTCCCCTGTAACTCTGCAGAAGGCATGAGACTAAGATTGCAGGCCTTTGACCCGTACAACGGAGCTGATTCTGCTGCTGCAGGCCAGAAGGGATTCATTTTCGTGAGTTGCTGATGATAATGAATATTCCGAGCTATATAACAGTGAGTTGCACATCTCTTAGGCCTCGGTTGATTAAAAAACAAATGCGGAGGCTGCTGCACAAGAAACAGATCAGAAAAAAAGAAGAAGGTAAATTCATAACTGGATTGGGCAATAAGAGAAATTATAATCACCTGCATTGTTGTGGATGGTAAGGAGCTGGCATCTGCAGGCATAACACCCTGTGTAGGTCCCAAGTATCTAACCAGAGTAAAACAAACTTCATTAATTCAAGAGAAAATGGAAAAAATACCAAAAGAAGGTTACAAATTTATTGCTAAAATTAGCCAAACATACCCCATTGTAGGAATCCCCCCAGGCCAGCCCGGGATTGACATATGTAGAGGCAAAGGATTAGCTTGAACTGGAAAAATAAAGAGAAAGAGAGGGAAGAGATCCAAGTTAATAAAAATGCTCAAAGTAGAACAATAACTCACTCAAGAAAAAGAGCTTACCTGCTTTTTCAGAACCGGATAATTGTTCCCGTGGCTGCTGCTTTTGTACATGGTGCTTGTTTGCAATCAGAGGAGCAGTATCTGAGTCAGATATCTCAAGATCGAGTTTAAGTTCACAGTTTCTCACTGATTTCTGGGCTTTACTTTCTGCCTCCGTTCTAGGATTCTTATCTTCAAGCTCCACAATAAAATCTTGTTTAATCTCTAGGAGAGGCTTTGTTTCCTACACATTTAATTTATCAAACCATATGGAATTAAAAAAAGAAAGCTCAATCATTAATGGATATCTCCATTGTCGCCATTACTAAAATTAAAAAAATAGTAGGACCCCCTCACCGATTCCACAATCTTGACTTTAGATTTAGTTTCTGTCGTCACACATTCAATATCATCACTATCTCTCGCCGGAGAAGATCTCGTTTGTGGTTGTGTCTGAAAAATGTTTACAAACAAAATTAGAAATTTTTTATTATTAAAAAAACGGATAAATTAATTTATTTCACACCCACCATTAGATTT